GACTGCGACTGCGACTGCGACTGCGACTGCGACTGCGACTGCGACTGCGGCTGCGGCTGCGGCTGCGGCTGCGGCTGCGACTGCGACTGCGACTGCGACTGCGACTGCGACTGCGACTGCGACTGCGACTTCGACTTCGACTACGACTACGACTACTTCTTCTTCTACTACTACCACTACTAGTACTACTACTACTGCTACTACTACTACTACTACTACTACTGCTACTACTACTACTTGCCGCGAATTTAGAACAACTATTTGAGCAAGATTGCCAGGCAATCTTGCAATCCTGGTCCCGCCGACCAGTTTACATTTCAGACAAAGATTGCAAAGGTGGGGGCAAGATTGCCAAGCAATCTTGCAGTCTTGGTCTCCGAAAGGTAAACTAGTCGGCGAGGAAGTGGGGCAAGATGACCAAGATTGCCAAGTTTACCAAGATGACTCCTTCAGCTAATTCTTCGAAATTCTCGGCACAGTGTACTCCTACTACCCCACTGCTCGCACTAGCACAAGTACGTGCAGCCGCAGCAGCAGCAGCAGCAGCAGCAGCAGCAGTAGCAGTGGTGGCCGTAGGAAGAACAAAAACAATAAAAATTATAACAACAGTCTTCATCTCCATGACAACAAGATTTAGACAGCAATTACACGTGAACCCTGTCTAAATCCGGAGGCCTTTGCCGTCGAAGCAAATGAGCTGTCGCCGGCATTGGGCTCAGCAGGAATCTGACAACAAACCCGGGTCAGCCGGCATGGGGTTTTGGGGCTTAGGTTCTCAGGTGACACGCGCTCTTGGACAATCCAGGAGGGTGTAGATCAGTTTAGGGTGAGATGTTTTCGTTGCCACATTTTACCTGGTCGCAACAACGTGCCTCCTTGTCAGCCGCCTCTGGGAACACGCCGGCGGGCTGCCTTTTTGATACGTTGATTCATGCCACTGCACACCAAAAGAGATTCCAGCGATGGCCTACAGTATAGTGCAGAGTTTGGGGCTTAGGGTTCAACACCTATGCTCACGTCGTGTCGGGGCTAGACCGGCTAGAGACAACGAGCATAAGCACTTCGGAGGTCTACACACATGTTTGATGTCAAGTTTCGTTCAATGCCACAACAAGTCGAAACGGCACGTGTTCTACGCGACATGCATGACCACCCTTTACCCCAAGCCCTAAACCGGAGAACATGAGTATGGTCAAGCTCCCGAGCTTCCTACTGACGCAAAATAAGGGCATGGTTTTCGAATCGCACCCTCGCTCAAGGCAGGAAATGCTTCAGGCAACGAGTGTCAAATATTGTTACTGTGACATGGTAGACTTCGTCTCAAACACGGACAGAGACATATTATACTCCAGACACAACAAGATAAACCCAATAAACAAGGTAACAACTGAAAAGGGAACCACCCGAAAAAAAAAAGAGGCAATCAACCAACCGCAAGAGCAACAGCCACACATCCATGAGGTCCAACTGCACATGTCACCACGCTTATCTGCAAACAGCGCTCATGACACGAAAGCCTAATGGCACGAGACGGCATCATCAGTGGTCACATGTGTACAGGGCATGGTTCACGCTTTTGGGGCGGTGCTCTCGGCATGAGTGCAACGGGCACTCAACAGTTTCCAAAGCAGAGTGAGTAGATGTGTACGAGTCTGCACAGGCAAGCTGGACGGTTGCCAGATCCTGGATGCCTTATGATCCGAGGACGGGACAACGAGGCTCCAACATCGCAGAAACTTGCTTCAAAGTGCGCAGTGAGCGAGGAATGGTATCAAAAAAGACAACGTCACAGCTGACGAGGGCCTACTGTCCAAGGGTCCAAGCTTCAGCCTTGGCCATGGTTGCAGCTTGCAGCTAGCAGCAGCTCACAGCTCGTAGCACTGTGGCTTCGTGCCCAGTGCGTGCTTTTAGGGCGAGGGCTTGCTGAGTTGCAAGATTTCGAGACATCGGGAAGTTGGAGCTCAAGCAGTCTCAGAAGTCACTGTGGATGTGGGTCTCTCCCCGCCTGGCCACTGACAAGCTGGCGAAAGTAACCTCGTGCTTCAGGCTGCAAAGGCGAGTATTTGATTGGCGCTGTTTGCAATCCCGTCCCCTCTCCGCCTCGGCTTTTGGTGTCGTGCGTCCAGGGTTTAACGTAGTGGGACATGTCGTGTCTTAGCCTATGGTTTACAATCATACCAGCTTGTTCCCGGATCTGCACACACGAGCCCATGCCTCTTTGAACTCTCCAATCGGAGAATCTTTGTCATATTCTTTGCCATGGGGTGGAGGGCTTGGCTGTTCATGGTCTCGGCTCACAAAACTGCAGGCGCTCTTTAGCCCAAGTGCTCTCCATAATAATCTTCGGAAAGGCACTGGATGTTCCCCTGGTTGACCCAAGCTGGCTGACCCAAGGAGTTTTTATCGCTGCTTTACAGGCAACAGCAGCCATGCTTGCGCATTTTGTACTAGCAAAGCCCAAGCTAGTCCCGACGAGCCCTCGAATACAACTAGTGCATAGAAAAAGGTCTGTAGAAGACAGCGGACATGAAGCTGTAAAACGTCGAAGAGAAACGCGAAACGACTCTGCCGACAGCGAACTACCCAGCCTGAAACTAAAAGCCTCGTGAACCTTGCAGAGGCGACCCTGCCTCCTATACAATATCCTGAGAACCGAAACGAAGGCTGGATATGTAAATACAGACACACGTAGGCCGGCAGGCTTGCAGAATGATTGCTCCTCTAAACTATGTTGTACGCCCAAAGTGTGTGTTCTCCAGGTATTGCTCTCCTTTCGCGGAGCCATTGCAAAAACTTGGCAAACACCTTGCTTCACATCTAATCTACCCAGAACGCTGCATCTTGGTACCTTTCTGCGGATCTTGCGCAAGCTGCAAGCACTTACCATGATTTTTTGCACAGTCTAGTTAAGCAGCTGCCGCCAGCAAGGCCAGGGAGAGTGCCACGCCGCGCCGGCAGGGCGCCATGCCATCATGGCTGTCTGATAGTGTATGCTGTGTGTTTAAGGGTCCTCGGATGTGGAGAAGTTGATGGGTTGAGAACTCTTTCGAACATATTTGAAGGTGTTGGTGTCGCTTTTTCCTGGGTCCCGGCGGGACCTCTGGTCCTTTCTACAACAACGGCGTTCAGTCTGCGTTCGGCCCGAGCATTTCTCATACCAAGCCCTCACGAAACTTTGAAGGGTTTGAAAAGCACCTGAGAGTGGATGGCTGTTGGTTCTGGTTTTCAAGCGGAGGGCTTCGATTTGTGGTAGAAAGGTCATGGCTTTCGGCTCTCTGGGGATTCAGGATTAGGCACGTTAGGACACAAAGCATGGCCGTTGAAGCTGATTCTTGGGCTCCCACATCAGCTCCAAGCCGGCACCAGGCTTTAGGATTCTGAATTAGGGGTCCAACTCTTTGCTGGGATGTGGGAGCTTCGATTGGCTTGATTCGTTCAGCAGCTGTCAAAAATAAGGGAAGCTTAGGGAGTGTGGGTTTTCCTCGACGACACTGTAGCAGGCTCCAAACCAGGTAGTCTAAAGACCACAAGAAGAGCGCGGAAATCTAGAGACCGCAAGATCCTAAACCTACATGGCAGAGTCGAAGCGTGTAGCTTGAACCAAACCCACTTTTTGCGAAGTCCTGGCAAAAGGCTGACGGCTGTGAATTAGATTCCCGAATCTGCTTCGAAATCTTCGTCTTAAGACAAACCATGAGCAGAATCTGCCGTCCCTTCTCCGCTTTCTATGGGAACGCTTCCCAAGTCTGGAAACCTCAGACTCCGAGAAATCGAAAGAGTAAGACAAGTCCCTAAAGTGAAGCTCGATGCCAAGACCCAGAATGCGGTACCGAAACCTTTCTAATTAAGTACAAGTACCCCCTCGTGCGGAGGTGATACAGGCAAGTACGAGCCCTATACTACACCAACAGAAGTTATGGGCAGTATAGGAGAGGCTCACACACACAGACACACACACACACACACACCTCCACACATCCACACCCGCACACACAAACACAGCACAACTCTTCAGCTTTCTCAGCTTCCCTATACAGGCAGGCACTTTACAGGCGTACACCGGAGGCCTTGCATGCCATGCTGGTGTGCAAAGTGCTCCATGTTGCAAGCACAAACTGGTCCATCAATGCTGTCACGTGCGGCTGGGGATGCAAGCACCCAAGGCTTAGCTGGCAACGCTTCCGGGGTATTCGTGAGGCGAACACGGGCACATGCCGAAGGGGCGGGAGCCTCCCGCTGGACTTCCAGGATCTGGTCCCAAAAATCCGATCAGCAGCTATGTTTGTACGGACTGCCGTTAAGGTTAGGAGCATCGCTATGGATGATGGTGGCCCAACCCTGAAACCTTTAACCCTAAACCCACTAAAGTCCCTAAAGCCCTTAAGCCGAACTCTCAACTTCAGCATTTGGTCGTCCTGCTTGGACCTCATGCCATCCTCAGATTAAGGACATTCCGGCTGCACCTCGGCATTGGGCATGTTGTCCCGATTGAGGTAGACGTTGAAGCACACCTCGGAGCATACCGGTGTCCAGTCGCAAAATGATGCGGGCGACGTGGTCAAGTTGTCCAGCCCGCCTTCTGCAGAATAAGGAGCACATGTCAAGCATTGACTCCTGTTGTCGCTGTTCTCGCTGGCAGCTGCATCTCTCTTTGATCTCAGGGAGTCTCACATACGGTTTTGGTGCGCGCGCGCGCGCGCGCGTGCGGGGACCTTTTTTGCACCTGGGCAAGGCATAGGCCAGGAACCGAGGCGCGCGGACCTGATTCCGAATCTGAGCAACAGATCAAATACTCCAAACCGAAGCTTAGCTGTCATGTCGAAGTAAATGCAAATTAGGATCATTGGTGCTTCTGGTCCTTCTGGTTCTGCTGCCTAAATCTAAGGTAGAACGCATGGGCCCCCAGTATGGGCCCTTAACCCTGGGACCCTAATATACCTACTATATACCCTATATATACTCTTAAGGGACCCTAGAATCCCCTAAGGGCCCATGTTAGGGGCCTATGGGTTCAACCTTAGACCAAAGCTGGCATCACTGAAGACTATCATTATTGCATCATCTTGGTCGCGGCGCTGTGGCTATCGCTGTACGCTGCTGCACGCTGCAAAGAGGGGTAGGTAGGCCCAGGTAGGTGCCAGGCAACGAAGGCCCCCATGCACGAATGGTCTGGCAAAGTCAGAAGGAAGGGGCCCAGCAAAGGAGGACAACGACAGCCCAAACAAACCCAACAATGCCGAAGGAAGGATCCCAAGCCCAGGCCCCAGGCAAGCTGGCCGCTCTCCAACCCGGCGGCTAGATCCTGAAAGCACCGCAGAAGAGAGGACACCGTGCGGATGCACTTCCGTGAATATTTACCTAAGTTGCACAGACACTCTTGCGACTCACACAGGTTGTCCCGGCCCGCAGACAGGCTCTGGCGCCGCTTGCGCCATGCCAAGTGGTGGAGGGTAGCGCTCGAAATGCCGATCGAATTCAAGTCTTCCGCGGTTTTGCTCAAAAAGAAAACTCTCGGCTCCGAAGCCTGTCGGTCTTAGGCCCTCCCTGTTGTAGCATGCCTGTTTGATATCGTTCGGGGAGGGCTGGGGGGAAGGGTAGCACCGCGACCGGGACCCGTCCTTGTTGACGTAGACATCGCGCCCGAAGAACCTTGCAGATCGGTTCGAGGATCTCCCACCTCCCCTTCTACAGTAGGTTCCCCGGGTGCCCCATTTTCTGAAACCTGCATTCCAGTATTCTACACATCTCTCCTCATCGTGTCGTCAGCTCGTAGCCGGTCCGGCCCGGTAGGGTTTGGAGTTCTAGGGTTCACCACTAGGTGACTAGCTCGGCTAAGCAGCTGTGATGTTGTCTCGTGCCTGGCTCGGACTCTGCCGTGGGGCTCCAAGCTTTTCAGATAGCTCTTGGGGCCTCACGGATTTACGGCGTGGGCTGAAGGAGTCGGGACAAGCCTCAAATTGCCTCGAAAGCCCTAGGCACCAACCTCTCAAAAGCAAAATACCTAATGCCCTAAACCATAAACCCTAAACAAAATTTGATACCTTTTTCACACAGGTTTGATTAGTGCTCAAGATTTAAGCCTCTGTGCAACAGGCTTCGCACTTCGCCTGGTTCAGGACTGAAGTAACCACCCGCACCCGAAGGCACTTCTGAGGCTGCGCACTCCCGAGTGGGCTGGCACTCGATGAAGCCGAAGCTGCCCTCTTTCCCACTCTTGAAAATCCCTTTCCTCGGCACGTGCTTTTCGCCCCTTAAGGGTGTTTAGAGTTTAGGGTTGAGGGAGTCTGAAGTCCCTTTGCTGGCAGAAGGCTTCAGGCTCGGAGCTCAGGGTTTCAAGGGTCTTGGACCAATGCAGCGTCAACATCTCGGGCCTCTCAAGCTTTAGATTGTTGAGTGCTCCTGAATCGTTGGCCTTAGGGCTTCACACCGGACAAGGAAGCCATGAAGCCCCAAAGCCTGAGAGACAGCGTCTAAAGTCGGTAGACTCTTGCACGACACCAGGGACCTGGCACAACCCAAGCTTGCTACAACTCCTCTGCGTACACAGACAACAACAGACACACCCAAACAAATGCGTCAAAAGGTTGTTGGGATTAAGGACCCCTTATGACAAGGACTCTTCTTTCAGATATTGACGTAACCCTGCAAGAAAACCTTTGAGCCCCCTGGAATCTCTGGGCCCGGATCAGAGCGTAGCTGCCATCCTCAAGCCCTGGCAACGGCAGACTTCATTGTAGAACCAGCTTGCGGGTTCCGGGTTTGAGGCCTAATCATGGTTTAGGACCTTAGGACTCTGGATTAAGGTGCAGAGTTTCAGGGACTATGTTGTTTCACTCTTGCATGACTAGGGATCAATGCGTTAATTGGGGTTGTAGGGCTTACTTAGGGTTCAGGGATCAGGTATTTTTTCAGGCTTTGTAGTAGTTAGTAGTATTGAGTTTGGGATCTGGTGTGTTTTTACCACAGTCCGTGACGGCAAGAAGGTTGCAGCGCGTGTGTTCGACCCGAGCTGGACACCCTCAGCTCGACTTTGC